GAGGCTTACGAACCCTGAGACTCGTTTGACGGGCACTATCGATGAAAAGACTGGAGGCGCGCTTTCCACAGGTCTCCGGGGGAGTGCCACGACCATTCTTCTCAAGCATATTTATCACGGCAGTTCACTCCTGCCTGATCTCCAGATCGCCTACAATCATCTGGTCAACCATCGACCCCATTGATCTTCATCGCGATCCCTCCTAGGCATCGGCTATCCCTGCCCTTATGTGCCATTCTGACATTACCGGAGTGACTGATCCACAAACTTTCGCATTCTCCATTGTTTTTGGCAGCTCTACCTCAGCGCTTCATGCTCCAATATTTACAACCAGTCACTTTTTACCTTGAATTCTGCAGTCACAATCAAAACGAAGGGATAACAAATTTGAAGGGTTTTTTTAAGAGCATTATAATCTCATACCCATCGCATCACTTCTTTTCACCAGCCATCTACTTCGTCATCTCACACTAACGGATGCTCCCTGATGTCGGTAGTACGTGCAGTGACCTCTTCAGCTCCTTGTCAATCCTTCCTGTGTCAGAGCCAGGACTCTCGGCTTCTCTATAAATATTTAGAATGTGTACTGACCCTTCCAGTCAAAGAAGTAGACAAACAAAATTTTGACTTTTGGAATCACCGTTTGGCGGAGGTGATGCAGTGACAAGTGGCGTACTATCACACTCTGTTCATGGGTTCGAATCCGGATCTATATCCGCTCCAGCCAGCCAAGCCTTCCCTCTCCTCGGAGTCGCTTAATTGATACCAGACTTGTATTTGAGGGTAAAAAGCACTGACTTATTTATGGCTGGACACCGCAAATCGTTGCTCAAGCCAGATACCCATTCAACCCACCCCAATGATTCTATGTAAATTGAAGTTAAATGAGGGAGCGTGTCCTTTAAAGGGCTCGATGAACGTCCAAAGATTTTTCAAAGACGTTGGACTACCACTTACTTTTAGATCATTGTTCTTTTTGACTACAAAGGTTCGAAGTAGCTGTTCGAAATGTGCTAAAGCTGCCTTCGTTGTTACCACACGTATGGGGCTACCCATACTATTCGGAATGGTTACCGTGACCTAATATACTTCCCTCTTGATGTGCATCAGTCCCGAGCACTTCACAGATGCTGCAGATACTTTATCATCTGAAAGCAGTTGAGTGCGCTAGACAAATTATATAAAACTGAATTGGAAAAATTGATATCAGGCAAGTTCCACAGAAGAATCGCACAAGCCATGTGCTTTCCATACTCAAGTTGTAAAATTTGTCAAGGCTTCTTCCGAAATGTACATTACATTTCATTATTGCAAAAGTTTGGTTTTCCTGATAGCTAAAATTTATTAATTTTAAGCTTTTTGCTGGAATTTGCAAAAAATTCGTTTGAACCTTGCAGCTGGCGCGTTTAAAGGCACAGGTCAGGAAAAGGTGGTTCCGGAGATTTGCATATAGTTTGAATTCGAAGCCCCCTTTAATACCATTTGTGCAGGAATGAGGTCGGAAATCGTTAGAATAAGGCACAATTAGGGCAGGAACATTGGGGGACGTCAGGGCTCCGCCCCTCGCTAGGCTGACTACGCGTTCGAATTTTCCTTCACCACTTTCGCATTGGAGCGAAGTTGGTGGAAAATCGATACGCCAATTGGCAAATTGCCAGGAATGGTCAGCTGGTCGACCGCCTCCTTCTGGTACTAATATTCGGCTGCATTTCAACTGATTGGCTTCAACTGAGCATAAATCTTCAGTTGAAAGTCAAAGAGTGTTCTTGACATTGTACAAGAACACATAAATGACCCCAAATGAAGAAAATGCGTTGCAAATAAGAAAAATTGAAATCCTAGCATGCATTTTATAAAACAACGTACTATATGGAAACTTAGGTACATTTAATCGTAAAATTATAAATATAAGGGAATTTACTCACCTTTCTGTGCAGAACAACTGAATAAACATAAAAGTTCAGCGAAACATCAGTTGGGGAATAAATAGTTTCAAGAATCTAGTCTAAATCAGCTGTTTGGGTGTTTTGTGTGCCATTGCACACATGGCGTCGCATTCATGTACTTCCGCGAAAATTCACTTAACCACCGTTTTCCCATTATGAATCTCGTCTAACCACTTTTTCCTCTTTTTCTTTCGGCCGCTTGTTTTCCTTTTTTTCACTGTTTTTAGCCTTTTATGCTTTACCATTGTCCTAGTGTAGGCCTTACCTACCACTATCTCTAAAATACCGGATACCCCCAAAATTGTCCTAAACTGTGCCTTTAACTGAAGAAAGTGTGAAGAGAGCCCATCTTCTTCAAAATTTCCTTGAGGGCATTTGGTCTGCCTTGTCCTCTGCTGTACCATAGGTGTCATTACCGAAATGCGCAAGGGAAACACTTGACGAAATAAAAAAATAAATAAAACAGTGCACTCTTGTTATAAAGTTGTGCTATGGAATAAATCTCTTTCGTCAAGGCAGAATCCTATGATTAAATTCTTCACCGTATTTTTCGCATTCCTGGTACGTACTATTTCCCTAGCATAAAGTACTCGTATACTTTCCAATCGTGGGAAATTGCGAGCTATCCAAGAGCAGCTAATTTTCTGATGCTCGCCGAAGTCATCAATGTAAGCCAAGCCATGAAACCTTTACGCCAACGCGGAGCAACCGTTTCCAGGAGTGTTTTTGCCATTTCAAGGGCCCTGTTCATCGGCCTGCATATAATAGTTGAAAACAATAGCTTGAGTAATCACGCATCACATGGGCACCGCTTCTGGGAAGATATTATCACAAGTTGGATGAAATCCAATAGCAGCCGCGAGAGATCAGAAAATTCTGCCCATTCCTTCTCATTATACGAGAATTTTACTTTTACTCGAATGCCTCTGGAAGGTGATTCATTCATGCCCTCATTAACACGACGTAACAACAAAAGGTCCCCTATACATCTATAAAAAGACAAAGAACTTTACAAAAGTGCGTGCAACTGGTGATAATCTCATGCAGTGTTGTATAGGAAACTGATAATCACTTAGGAAATTGGAGAGGAGAAGCAGGAGATTGGACCGGTGTGAGAAGTAAGTGATTAAGGGATTAAATTAGAAAAAATTATTTGCAGGAAAAAGTACACTAAGGCTTCAGGTATTAGTGAGGGATGATAGACGTTGAGGCGAGAAGTAACATTCGGTAATACTCTACTGATTTCTGGACCTTCATGCCTTTTCAGAGTTTGACATGGAGGCGGAGGTGATGTAGAGTGATGCGGTCCACTATCAGACAGGGCTTCCCAGGGAAACGAATCTCGGGCTGATACCCGTCTCATGAACCAGTGCTGGGATTGAGTATACGTTGTAAGTTAAGTTATACGTTTATTATGTCTGCGAAAGGAAAACGTGAGAAAGAAAACGAAACGCAATGTAACCATCGAACATTTGTACGAGCAACCAATTCGCAACACAAAGATAACTTAGTCAGTTAATCAGCTGCAAGAAACGTTAGGACCAGTTCCCTTCAGTAGCAACTTAACTACTTGGCGTTTGAACTGTGGTAGCGATGAAGAGACGGGCATACTTTTCAGCACTCTTGGATGGTCACTGACAGCCCTGAAGATAAAGCTACTCACTCGCAAGTTAGTTTTAGGACGTGCTGAAGAATAATCATGGAGCCACACCCAGTCCTCGAATGTATCAGCTTGAAGAAATTGGTACCGTGACCACAAGTGCCGTGTACAAGTTTATGAGCCATACAAAGATCGAAAATCCTCTGTCACGTTTTTAAAGGTGACAATCCAAGATACTGGTTTTGGGGCAGTTGGTGCCCGTAGCATCAACATCGCTCCACTCGCATAGAATGGGGAACCCAAGACTTTTTAATCGGCTCGACTTCGGGAATGGGCAGGAGGTGGAAATACGATTATGGTATGAATAACCCTAACTAATCACTGTATTATATTATTGTATAATCACTATTGTATTAATGTATACAGATGACGATGCAGTTTAGGAAAATTGCAATATACGACGCATTTCGAAAGCACTCCTTTTGGTCCCCTTCGTTTTCTTTCTACACTAGTGGTGCAGAGAGTTGGGTGTGATAAGCGATATGCTTACATAAATCCGAAACTGTTGTTTCATAATATTTGTTGTTGTAAATGAATTACAATAAAATAAAAGCAAGTTCCGTGTGTTCTAAAAGGTTATTTCCATGACTCCTTATCTCTTATAGCAGCTTCAACAGCAGCTTTTATCTTCTAGCATCAATCATCAGTACCATTAGAGCATTTCATTAACAAGCTTGTAGCTGTTGATTTTAATGAATAGGTTTGAATGACTTAAGCGCTCTAATTATTATGCTCCGATTGTAAAAATAATGTCCGATTACAAAATATTATCGACCTAACCATAAAAGCTTCCACTCGTTTTCTGTCTTTCCATCGATGTTACCGTCGTTACTACTGAATATGAAGGTCGACGAGAAAGTGGGTGGGACACTTGTGGGCGGAGGCTGCACTGTGCCCAACCACTCACCTGTTTCCCCGGCACCATCGTAGACAGCTCGATATAGAGATTAGTATATTACCAGTTACGTTTGCTCGAAAGTTTACTACCTATGCTATCTAGTGTTGCTCAGCATGCTTAACATTTCTCGTGTTTGAGACCGAAATCAGTGAAATCTGACAACCTGGGTAGTCGAAAAGATGGCCCACGTGTGGGACGATTTCAGGGTTTTCTCTTGACTCCGATCTGATTTCTCATCCCCTTGAACTTGATTCTCTGATGACGTTTGAACTTTGTCTTCTACTTTTTATTCAATCTACTCGCTTCAAATTTTATTATTACAGCTCTTTCTCTACAAATGCCTTTATTTTTAGCTATCCTGTCATATCAGTAATCCAGAGCTCGATGGATTTTTAATAATCCGCGTGAGCCTCCCTCTTACCTGGCACTATCACTCCTCATTCAACCTTCACATTTTCTCTAATCTTTCTACGCTCACGTACATGCCATTCGAGTCTTTTAGAACAAAGACCTGTAGAGTTCAACTAGTCACAGCCTCCAGTAGAAATTCTTGCCTATATTAATAACATATCCCTTTCAGATGACAGAAATACTAACCGAAGGGCCAAATTCTATTGAAAATCTAGTTGCCACGTCTATAATTTTCTCGGTATGTCAGCTGAGCAACATTTCAATTTTCTCAACGTTGCTAAAAATTTCATTTGACGAAGGGGCTTACGATGAGACGGATATAGGTTTGGACTCGTAACGTGACAGGCGCTTCACTTTAACTCAAACTGAAAAGTCAGTCGAAGCTGAATGCTTGTACTTTCCAGTCTCCTTTTCTCGAATATTTCACCCTAAGGATGTGGTTAGAAACGAGATAGCACTGTCAAGATGTTAAAATGAAATTTGAGTAAAGTCCGAGGAAGTGGGGAAGTGGCTATTGTCGTCGGCGTTGCTCGCTGGCCTCACAAATAAACCACCTTATAAGGCTTCTTTCAAGCCTAGACGTTCCTTATCAAATCTTCTCTGTTCTCAGGGGATTACTCTGGCACTAAGAAGACGAGTCAGTTTTATATAAACTAATTTTCCGCACAGATCTGACCATATCTTGTAACACGTATGAAATTATTTCTGCAAATGTGTTTGATGTTTCCTCAGGTTACACTGTAGTGATTGCAATTTGTTAGCAATTCAGCACTTATAACGGAAATATGAGGAAATTTCCAAAAAGAATAATTCTGTTTCTCTTATTCGATTGTCTGCTCCTTTTTCTCTGCCATGACTCTTTCACCAATGAACGAGAAAACCGCTGACGTAGCTTTATTTCGTTGCAACTCCAGTTTTGTTAGAAATACTAGTTAAGTTTTTGAGGGAGCGTTCATATGGTAACAATGTTGACGTACACCTAAACATGGGAAACGAAATATTCTCACCTTTACTCCTTCCGCAAGTGTTAGGGCGAGTAATGGGTCCCGTGGATTGCTTTATAGTGGATCTAATGCAGTTTCTCACCCCGGACATTCTCATCCCAAACTCCCATCTGAGCAGTCGGTCAGATATCACATGGGTTGGCGGTTGAATCATCGACTAGGACACGGGAAAATTATAGTAACGACTAAGCGAACGGTTACTAGCACCCGTGTGAAAGCGGAGAAGAGGACTTCGAGAAAGAGTGCAAGTCAGCGGGTTCAAAGTAGACAAGTTATCATGGAGCCTCCGCTAGCGAGATGATCCAAGTTTAAAAAGAATATCCAGCAGATGAAAAGCTAAGGAGCCCAAATTAGACATCGTATTTGCCATTTCAATCGTTTTCGGAGACAACAGTGGTGCTAGAACGGTTCTTGAAGAAAGAATAGCCTTTACATCCGCTTGTAAATTTCTAAGATGAAAAGGTAAAATGAGTGGATGCCCGCTACGAAGATCTTCTTCCTTCCATTTCCTTTCGAAACTAGTGAAATTACCTAACGCTGCTTTCATTCCTACATGAGAATTGATGGTGTCCCATACTGCTCAAGTTATACAAGTATACGCGTGGGAATTTGGTAATACTACAGCATGGCTTCCTCATTGGAGAAATGACTTACTTAGAAGTATTTCCAAGACTTTGAGAACGACAAGTTACTTGAAATGTTCACCAAGTCGATCACCTTCCTCAATAATTAGTTCCGGTAAAAGACGTAAAGCCTACAGCAGCAATCCAAGATCGCTCAATTCAGCCATATGATGAAGCCTCCCGTCTAACCAGTAGTTTCATGTGGTTTAGTAAAATGCTCATTATAACGGAGGAAGAAAAAGCTGGGCTGTGCCTGCCCAGAACGTTAAAGCCAATTTCTTTAACGAATTCATCTGACCCCGCCTATACAACGGTGTGCGGGATTTGTACAACTTACGGGAGTATGACACCATCAGGGACGGTTGTCGCATGTTCGAATTCCGGATCGATATTCGCCCAACCCAACCAAGCTTTCCATCCTTCTGGGGTCGGTTGATAGGTACCAGACTCGTCTGGGAGTATACTAGTTTGTACAACTGTTCACTGCAACTGGTCCGCATACCCACTTAAAACGCCACTACGATTCTGAATGTAAGCCGATAGCGGGGCTCATCTCTCAGACGGGATTGATCAACGCCAAAAGACTTTAGTCTTTCACGACACCGTTATTCCAGCCTTCCTTCTTGTTCATGCATGCTTCAGGGAATATCACGCTGGGAAGGAGTCATAAGCTATGTTGTAGGTACTTTAGAATTCTTTCGCAAGTCCGGATTATGCAGCATTCGGATTATATATTCTCACTATTACATCATCGTCCTTGTTGTTGAAAAAACAATCATTCAATTGAGCCTCGTCAAATCTCATTTTATTCTTAGCGTGGCACAGTACAGCACAGGATTTTCAACCTTCTCCGACGACCAATGGCTCGACAGCTTAAGTCAGTATGAGGCTCGGGGCTGCATTCGATTCCACCGCACCTGGTATGAATATGACGTTGGTGGAGGTTCTGAGAGTTTTCCGGCGATTCCACCCAGGCCGTAGTGCGGTATTTGTAAGCATGTCGAAGCAAGTTCATCGCCCTAGAGTCAAGGCTTCGTGCATGGGAGCCTTGTGGAAAAACATATTGTGGTAAACTCAATTCATGAAATGCGACTATATCACGGGGTAGATGGTGTGGTGGCAAGTGGCACACTACACACATGCATGGTCAAGGGTTCGAATACCAGATCAAGGGCCAATCAGGCCTTCCATCTCTCCGGGGTCGGTAAATTAGTACCAGACTCGTCTGGGAGGATGAAAGCACTGACTTGTATTATACATTAGCTAGCCACCGCAAGTCATTGTATAGGCCACATACGCGTTCATTACACCACTACGATTCTGAATGGAAGTCGAAGGCGCATCCCTCAAACATGTTTGATTAACGCCGGAAGACTTGGGGCCAGCGGTATTCGTCCGATGCCCTAGAAGGGCGAAAATCAGTCTTCGGCTCCAGTACGTTTCTGTGCTCTTTCGTAGGTGATTATCTTAGTTCAAATGATTTTGAAAAATCCACTATCCACATCCCACATAGTCTTGTAATGCTTCAGTGCTCGCCGTAGTGGCCGAGTATGTGATTAAGTCAGGCGTTCACTTTCAAAGTCTGTAAAGAAACACCGGTAGTGCTTCTCATCCAGGCACTTTGCTGTTGCTCAGTTGTTGCTAAAACGCTCTTGGATAACCATAATTTGTGAACAATGTAAGCCTTTATATGAATACAACTTGAATGAATGATAACAGAATTATTGTTCGAAAAGTCACTTAATTGGAATTGGATTCAAATTTTTGCTTGGTGTTAATGATTCACCGGGATTGCTTTTCTCGAACCATGGATATCCATTGCGCATGGTTTCCTATGAAAGATGTCTATCTCAATCGAAAAATATTTTCCTAATCGCCATCCGACCCATAGAATTTTGCATCCACTTCCTGAGCTACGGTGACCACCTCTTCCTAAAACTTGCTCTCGCGTGGTGGGTGCATCGAGCACAGCATTTTAGTTCATATCCTTCTTATCAATATCCAACTTTATATTATCGGCCTAGCATGTCTGTCTATACGTGTTTGTTAGCTCTTTTGCGTCTACCCTTTGAATAGTAGAGGTGATAAGCACGAGGTCTCTTGACCCTTGTGGAATGAGCCTCAGCAGTGGAATATTCAGAGTGTGACTTCGATTGATGCAGGACGGTCCGGTGACCGAGTCGTGCGAATAGCTCAAACTCAAACTTGGGTAATTAAACGTTTATTTAACTGACTGAACGTTTAACTGACGTAACGAACACGAGGACTGTTAGTGAGCACGTAGAGATATCAAAAGGAGCTGTCGACAGCACAGCTGGGCAGCTGTCTCTATTGTGCAAACCTTTGGCGAAACGGAACGAACATCGAAAAAATGGCCCTTGTCTTGCATGGGGTCGTGCATGTTGATCTTAATTTCGGGAACTTTGCGCTTCGACTCGACCAGCTTCTTTAGGACGTTTAGCCAATGCTCGAGTTCGAGCCTTCCTTCTTCTTGTGGCTCAGCTCTGTCGTTATTATTGTCGTCGATGTCTCCTCCGTCAGAATGCTCGAAAACGACTTCGTTCTCGAGTCTAGGAGGTCTTCTTCTTTCCTGCTGCGTCGTCATGGTGTTACTGGAAACGGTGAATCCACGTGTTTTTCTGCAACAGAATGACCGTGTTTAATGGAGTCCTTCAGCATGTCCTTGATTTTCTCCTGCTTTTGCAAGCAGTGATCCTATGTTTCCTTGACCTCAAGTTCGAGATCAGTCAACCTGTTGATGCATCTTTCCTGTTGCTGGCCGAATTTGCCGAATCTTTCATCAATTTTCTGCTCGAGCCTTGCCAACATGCGCCTGATTTGTTCGGTGATGGATTCATGGGTCTCTGTTTCCGTTTGAAACTGGGCTTTATGAATTTCCGTTTTTGACACGAATGGATTTTGTGACAAAGATTTTAAAGAAATTCAATCTCTTGCAAACGAAGTCTGCAGTGAATGTCGGATCCAGGGACACTCCTTGTACCTTTTTCCTTAAAAACTTGTCTTTAGAGGTGTCAACGTATCGTCCTAGAGAACTAGAAGTTTGTAAAAGTCGTAGCCCATTACTAATGCTCCCGACGCACATCTTCATTCATCTGTTGTGTGACATCGTTCGAGATGCACCTTCTCCAAGTGGCTCTTATAAAGGCTGAATTCGCCTTTTGCATAGAAGTGAGGCTTGAGTTATTCTCTATTTTCCCGGCCGATGCACCAAATGTGAGTTCGATTGAGGTTGGTTGGTCCAGTGACCGACTCGTGCAAATAGCTCAAACTTGAGTAATTAAACGTGGTTGTGCAAATGGTGCCTACCGCGGTTTACGGCCGAGCACAGTGAGCGAACACTAAGCACCGAAATTGTTTATTCGGCATATATACAAAAAAGCATTGCAACGAACAGCAACAAACAAGACACAGAAAACGCTCAATGCCACAGTGGCGAATGCGCGAGTACCTGAAACACACACACAAAAAAAAGAAAGGCGTGCGGGGGCGCAGAGGATCCCTCTTGGTGAGTCCGTGACTAACCACTTCGAATCTGGTGCATCGAGTTTTTATAGCTTCCGTTCCCGCCTAAACCTCTAAACCTAAACCTCAACGATGATTGACGCCAATCCAAGATCCCGCGCACTAAAAGAAATGCTCTACCTCACGTCACGTCAAGAACTCAGGCGTTCAGGGGTTCTCCCACCTCACTGACGTAACAAACACGAGAAGTGTTAATGAGCACGTAGAGATATCAAAAAGAGCACCTGGAAAACTAAACCGTACGAAGTGCGAACAAAACCGGTAAAAGGAATGGAGAACTTCATGGAAGAGTTGAGAGTAGTCAAATGTGAGCAAATATCAGAATAATAATACGCAAGAACAGATAACAAATGACTTATTCAGTGAAGAAGGAGTGAATCAATAACAAGATGGAGTAAACAAATAACAAAGCTTAGAATGCATAAATACAAAACTTCGTGCAATGCGCAATGTTAAAATGAGATGAACAAAGTAGGTAAGCGAGTAAGATAAATCAAAGATAAGAAGAATACGGTGATGCTCAATCCGCGGTCGCCGAATCTATCAAGGAAACTTGGGCACGGGACGTCGGCGTGCGTGCGCAGTTTTCCCGCGCGATCTCTGATCAATAGAGATCACCTTCGTGATACAGAGTGGTAGTGGCATTTTGAACGCGCTGAGGGACTATGCAATGACTTTTAGTGGCCAACCTACGTCAGCGCTTCCATCCTACCAATCTAGCATGAATTAACTAATCCCGAAAGACTAGAACCCTCGATTGGCCTAGGCAAGTATCAAGCCAAGATTCGTTCCCTTGACCGAACGTGTGTGTTAGCGCATCTACATCACAACCGCCCATGAAGGTGATATGTATGACTGGGAACCCTTTGATACCGTATGTATTTCGTATCGTTAGTTGTCGCATTGAGTGAAGCAGGCCGGTGAACATGGTGGTACCAGCTCCATCGAGTAGTACATAGGAGTAGTGAATATGCGGAGAAGACTACCTACTTCTCCACATACGAAGCCTTTCGACATTATTTGCCGATCGTAAGTACAGTGTGGTGACAACTGTTTATCGCATAACAGGACCTACGAGTGAATAGGGCGCTCAGAACAATGAACAACCTGATGTCATCAGGAAAGTTACCATCGATGCCCATGTGGATGATGTTGAAGATATGGCGACGGAAAACGGTTAAATCTAGTTGAAATGTTAGTTACTGTCTAGTGTATTCATGTTTTGGTTGAGTAAAGCTTAGCGATTCGGTTATTTATTCTTGAAATTTGAGATCTTAAGCTATGCTCTTCATCTGAACCCAGCTTTTTCATTAGTAATGGTTTATCGTAGAACAGAAGTCTTTATAATCTGCAGTATACAATATAATAATGAGATCTCTGCGTTGACGTCGAAGCTGATACATGCGAGATGGAAAAGTTTGCCAAATGAAATTCATGAATGCCCTCCAAAAACTGTAATAGCAAGAGTGTGGTGATTTGATTACTTCTAGCTTGTTAGGATAACCTCAACCTTGTGACAGTACCCGTACTGAAGGCCTCACGACTAGAATTACTGTTCAACTCATTTCGTCGTAATTCCTAGCATTTTCTACTGCACGAACTAAACCATCCAAAGGTGAAGCACTTCATAGCCAAGCGCATGAATTCACCCCACTGACTATAGTGCAATAACAATGCTATCAGACTGAACTTTCAATTATGTTGGCTTCGTCTGCTGAACGAGGTTCATATGAGGTGTCTTGACAAGTAGACGTAGACTACAAGTGGACCCCTCGTTGCAGTCCTTCTCAGAGCCCGGCATCCAAACTTGCAATGACTTCTTTTGTAGGAGAAGTCAGTGCAGTTATGGATGACGGACTCCTGGGAGGGCTGGAACAGGAAGTCACCGCTTACCACTAGGTAATTATATAGTAGTGAACTCTTTAGAACAGCCTCAAAACCCGATGAACATTTGGAAGTATGTGGGCATTCGGAGTGTAAACGTAGTCAAAAAAAGAAGGAATCCTAATGACACCGCTTTCAGTGATACCTGGAATGAGAAAAGAATTGAACAAACTTATCTCATATTTTTTAAGAGCACTGGTGATAAAAACGTTCCGTCGTCCACTCCCACAGAAAATATCAACATGTCTGTCGTCTGGCTAGACGCATGTGGGAAACCGGATGAAAAAGGCCGAACGGGAATAAGAAAACTAGTGTAATTCAGGAACAGGAAAATGGAAGGGTTTCCGGAGATTCAATATTTCGTTAGGGATGGACTGATGTTGTTACTGATGTTACTGATTAGGACATCGTTTTTACAGCTCATTTCATTGAATAGCGGAATACTCGAGAAGTGCTCCTTTAGAAATCATGAATCTGGTACCTCTGGCGTAAGATGGAAGA